GAGTGCGATCAAGCGTTTTCCAAACTCAAGGCTGCTCTCATTTCGGCTCCAGTCCTTATAAGACCGGATCCCGAAAACCCTTTTGTTCTCATCACCGACTGGCAGCCAGAGGCGATTTCGGCGATCCTTGCCCAGGTGGGACCGAGCGGACTTGAGAATGTAGTGGAGTATGCGTCCAAATCAGTGCCCGCCTGCAAGCGCAATTACGCCGCTCCAACGGGTGAATGCTATGCGGCTCTCTGGGGAATCAGTCACTTCCGTGCTTATCTGTACGGGCGAAAATTCACCTCGGTGACTGATCATGAACCCCTGTTGGCTCTGAAGAAGTCGAAGGATTACTCTGGCATGATCGGGCGATGGGCAACGGTGCTGCAGAGCATGGACTTCGACATTCGTCATCGAAAGCATGAGAGACACGGGAAGGTGGACGGACTGACACGACTGCACCGGCCTGAGAAGGTTCCAAAGGGTGAGGAGGTAATTCCGTGGAACGAACCCAAACAGGAGATCGGACCTCGGTACGGCCAAGTGTGGATCTTATCGAAGCAGTAAGTGACACGAGGACTAATTTTTCTGTTCTGCTCTCCCTGCATCCCCTCGTCCTATGCCACCATGGGGTAGCCTCCACAACCCCTTCTTCTCCTACTAATTCTGTCCCTCTTACTTCCTCCGCTTTCTTCGACACCCTCCCCGATAGATTCTACTATTTTTGCACATGTATTGCACGGGTTTACGGGGTCGACTGTCATCCCTTCGAGACCGGATTTGTCAATTGGGTGGAATGTGTCATGTGTGTCAATTGCGTGCACGGAGCCTGCGTTCGATATCGAAGGAGTAGCAAGGAATGGAGGTGCCCCCTGTGTAGAACGAACAAACTCCCCACGGAGGTTCAATTCGAGGCCGCCCGTACGGACGGTCCTGAATACGACAAAAAATACCGACGGGCGGAAGTCTGGACGGATAAAATTTTATTGGCGAAATTAGCGGGATTATCATTGGGCCACCTCACCAAACACGACAGACGTAGGGCGACCGAGAGATCTCGGGACTATCGATGGATCAACGGTCATTTGGAAAAGCGTAAAACTGACGGATCGGGTTCATGGCTGACAGTTCCCCAATGCATCCCTTCCAGAGATACGATTGGATCCGATCTGCTCACGAGGAACAGGCCGCTCATTTCCCGATACGTGTCACGGAGGCAACTGTAGACCAGAATCGATGGTTCTGGTCCAATATACGAGATGATGTCAAATACATTGTCGCTAACTGTTTGGTCTGTGCCGCTGATCGCGCCCCTATACGGGGACCAAACACGATCGTGCCAACGGAAGTAGAGTCTCCTTTCCAGTGAGTCAGTATGGACACGACAGATATTGACGTACCACCTGGCCCAAACCGTTGTGAATATTCCATCCTGTTAGTTTTAATTGACCATTTTTCCAAATACATCGAAGTCTATCCTTGTAAGACCCGAAAGGCCGCCGAAATAGCCACATACATCGAATGATTCCTTTATACCCATCTAGATACGGAAGAAATTATAACTAACAATGGGTCGGAATTCAAAGGTGAGATAGAGGAACTGCTTGCACGAAGGGGCGTCACGCTCTGACATATGGCACCCCACGTATCCTAGTCGAACGGGTTGGCCGAGAATGCCAATCGTATGATTAAAACCGCACTTCGCAGGAACTTAGCGGCACACGACACACGTCCTTGGCCCGAGATCGTATATTTGATCGTTGGGATCCACCGGGCCACCCCTCATGAGTCTACGGGGTTTACCCCCTTTCAGCTTCGAACTAATAGCCTCCCCTGTGTCGATTACCGGAGTAACTAGGAAATTGCCGAAGCAGGGGGTAGAGACACGCGTGCGGCCCTCAAGGCCAAGGCCAAAAGGTACACCGATTTGATGGAACGAGTCGTTCCGAAGCTAGCCCGAAAAAGACAAAGGATGACTGAGTTGGCCCACGGTAGGCAGGTCCGTAGCTACGAGGCCCGGAACGGAAATGCTGGGCCCCWGTACCAGTATAAATTGGGGGACCTAGTGCAGGTACGTAAATGTGCACGCGATCGGAAACTCGCTCCCAAGTTCTCTGGCTGTTTTCGCGTTGTCGAACTCGTGCCCAACGACGCCAACACGCTGCGCATCGCGCCTGAGGCTGGCGCTAGCCATAGCACCGTCCCCATCGTCAGACATACCTCCTACCTCCGTCTCCTTCCTCCTTCTGACTTTCCTCCCTCTTCTTCCTCGGAAAGCGAGGAAAACGACGACGATCTAACCCTCTCTCCTCTTTCTCCCTCTTGTCCCTCGTCCTCCTCTCCGACCTCGCCATGAGTTTCATCACGGAGCGGGTTCTCGACGCAGAGCTGCGGCAGCCACGTGACCAAATCTCATAAATCCGGCAAGTCTGTCACCCTCGGCTCAATACAGATCTCCGCCGTTTGATGCGATTCTTCTGCGACGAAGGTATATGTGTCGCCGCCGCATTTCGGATAGAAGGAAGCCCTCACGCGATAGTGTTCGTGGAGGTTACTGCAGTTCATCGGCGAGCAGGTCCCAGAACGAGCCACGTCACCACAGTGGCGGCATTCACCGGCGACATCAGCTCGGTCAATCCGCTGTGGCATACCGCGATCTTGGCCTCGCTGCGCGAGTGGACGGAGCAACTGTCCAACGTGTGGCAGCACGTCCTCGCCCGGGAGGGGTATAACATCATCCCAATCTTTGCATCGGACATTGATGGCATTCGCCGATCACCGCGCGAGCGGCCAGTTGCGATCCCAACCCTAGTTCCCTTCCCCCATTCCCAATGAACCACGCCAATTCTCTCGCCCCTCTCTCTATCTTTGTTCTCCCCTCTCTCCTCCCCACCTTCTGGCAATTCGATCTCCACCCTTCTCTTTCCTTCTCGTTCAAACCTCTTTCGGTCCCTCTTATCCATCTTGGACATTGGCGAATGTGGCGCGAGACTTTTGAGGAGTTGTCCTTCTGCCTGAACCGAGTACAAGTGAAGTGGACGGGCACTATCGAGCACCCCACGTGGATCGAGAATCCGGAGCTGCTGATCATACAGGTTTGGAGGACTAACGCGGAAGGATATCTTATTGGATTCCTCTTTGGATCGGTACGACCGGGTCGCCGTCAGTTGATTGCACAGGAGCTCATCGCACTGGTCGTGCAATTGGCGGACGATCTTTGGCCCGACATCTACTTTCAGAGCGACAACAGTCCTGCTTCGTACATTTTCGAGCGATCCTTGGATTCGTACCTTCAGTGGACTTCGTGCTTGGAGGAACCTAGGGATGAGGATACACTACCATCGCGGCAAGAGTATCTGAAGCCGTACGAGATCATCCCTTACGCCTTCTACCCGAGGGCAGAAGAAGTGGTGATTGACGACAACGACGACGAAGAAGAAAACGACGACGAGGAGACATCGGAGGAGGGAAGCTACAGTGAACATAGCGAGGGCAAGCTGAGTGAAGAGGAAGAAGGAGGAACCGGGTCCGAGTGGGATGCCCCGCCGGAGGAAGCGACGCGTACGGGAACGGAGGCGGAAGATCCGGAAGCGGCGCGAAAGCGCGAAGAGATTGCCTCCGGAAAGCGCCAACTAGAGTTCGCTAGTGAGGCTAGCCTACGCATCGGTAGCGATCCGACCAGGGATCCAGAGCCGCTGAGGCCCGAAGATGGCAACCCTGCAGCCGCCACCTCTAGTACCGCGCAACGGAGACGGCGTCGATCCCCCTCCTCCTCCAGCCCCACCCGTCCCCCAGTTCGCCCACGTACCAATGCGGGCGATAGGCCTTCGACCTCGGACGCTGCCCCGCCGACCCCTTGATTTTCTCACCCTCATGCAGATCCGTACCCCCGTCACCTTCCCTTCCCATCCTTTCCATCCCCATCTCTTCCGCGACTTCTACTCTACCCGTCTACTCGCCACCGTCCACCCCCACGCCTCCCTTCTGTCCGCCGCTCCCACGTTCTGGTGGCATCTCCTGCTGTTCAGCGCTGCATGGGAGCAATGCAACGTGGTAGAAGTTTACTGCATCGCCACGGGGACAATCCCCGCTTGCCGCCACTTCGAGATCTTTCGAGCGGCGCTTTTCCGTACCCTCTCCTCCTTCTATCGTGACTACCTCGCCTCCCTCCCCCGCAATGGCGATCATTTCCCCCGCTTCCACCGAATCATCCGATATGAGGAGCTCCCGGTGACGATGGAAGGGCTGAATCGCTTCGTACCCCCACTCCCCCCCCGTCATCCCCGCGTGATCCCCGACATGTACCGCCTCTACTGGCCTATTCCAACTAGGCGGTAGATCCCGTTCACCCTTTTTTTCTTTTCTCTCCTCCCTTCATCAACACGAATCGGTAAGCTTCGCGAAGATCACGCCATCAACGATGACGTCAACCTACGCACTGATTCGACAGATGGCAACGAGCAAGGGTGCAGAGCACACGGAGATTAGGTGGACCATGATGTCGTCACCTGGATGATCTCCACGAGGCAGAGGGTTGCATATGGCAGGGCTACAGAGATCTTGCCACGGATGTTGTCGCCATCTCATCCGCGGCCCAGTTATCGTTCCTTGTACTTCTTTCTACTGTGTTGATACACTTGGTTCCTCATGCATCACTCTGTTCTCCCCTCTTCTTTTTCGCCATGACATGCAATCAGGAGATCGCATAATTTTGGAACCCCCTGCGCGTCACATATGTGACGAACCACTTCCCGACCCCGTGCCATCTTTCGTACCCTTTCTTTTGCTTGTATCATACCAACCCCRGGAAAACCCCGTTTTGAGTTCTTGCTTTCGGGTGCCGCATTTTCCTTTTTGAGAGTTTTTTTGACTGCTGAGTTCTGTTTTTCTTCTTGCAAAGTCGGAAAATACATGGGAATTCACGTGCGCTTTAGCGAGCGCACTGGGAGTTGGGCTCGGTAGTTGGGAATTCCGGGATAAGCGGAACTTCGACGTGTCTTTTTTTGGGTGTGTGAATGTTCTTGGGCGCGTCGGGGACAACTCTCGGAATTTTGCGTGAATACGAATAGGCGTAGGATTTTCTTTTTCCACGTCGCTTTTTTGCGCGCGGATATGATGATTTCGATTTTGAATTAGGATAGAAGCAAGCTGTAACTGTTTCGGTGCCTTTTTCTTTTTTTGTTAACAGCACCATGCATGCAAAAGCTTCCTCCTCTCTGTCCCCCGCATCGCTCCCTCCCGCGCCTCCCTTCCCTTCTCCCTCTTTTTTCTCTCCCCGTAACTGTTTTTCCTTCTCCCTCTCTCTTTCTCTTGCCTTGCTTCCGCGCACCCATTTCCCTTTCTTGATCATCTGAATCTTGGACCCGTCTTGCGCCACCTCTCGCACCTTTTCTCTTCTCACCCTCTACGTCTGGCGTACGACGCCCGGTCGATCCCCCGATAACTCCGGCTCGCCAATCAGGTGCGTGGATCGATAGGACCTTCCTATCGCGCGACGAATCTGATTGGTTGAACCTCGAGTTCCGGGGGATCAGCATGGCGTTCGTAGAGCACTCTTCTCAAAGTCTTCTCCTCCTGCTTCTCCTCTTACACCTCAGCTTTCCTGTCGCCTTCTCTCCCTTCTATCTCCCCTGTCGCAACTATAAAACCCGCAAGCACGTCCGCAAAGCTCTCTTACGTTCTCGACTCTCAAGCCAGCTTCCGGGAAGCAGTGGCTAGGCAGAGTGTTTGAAGCGAGTCGAAAATTCCTGTCGAGCTGACGATAGACTGGCTGGTTGCGCGCTGGATCACCATGACGGACTGTGGGATCTGGGTGAACCGTGTCGAGTTTAAGACAACGGGGTGACGATCGTAGTGGTGGGAGTTAGCACGCGACGACCGGGATCGTCAGTGCGGGTATGAGGATCGATGTTGAGTTGATTGGCCCGGGGCCATATTGGAATTAACGGCGAATGCGCCTTTGTTGCGGATTGTTATCTTTGGCGTCAGTGTACGGCGGTGACGCCAAACTTTTCTCTTCCTGGACCTTGTCATCTTCTATTTTGGACTTTCTTTCCCTCGACTCTCTCTCTCTCTCTCTCTCTCTCTCTCTCTCTCTCTCTCTCTCTCTCTCTCT